TATATATATATATTTAGGCGAGCCCCCAAATTCAACACCACCACATGAGGGATAAATTCCTGAATAATATATTTTTTTTTATATATTGGTTCGTCTCAACTATCGAGACTATGTCTAGTTATTGATCCATAATAGTGCATAATTAACACATATTTTAGTATATTAGATTGGGCTTATTTGACATTTAGAAGTGTCTTAAATTGATGAATTGGTTGACATTTATTTTAATGGACTATTTTGGTTTCAATTCTAAATTCTAGTTAATTTTCGTAATTTCTATCCACTTTGACATGTTGTCTTGTGTAGGTCATCTCTAGAGCTCCCAAACTCAAATTGGACGTTATTGGTATCCCTGAAAAGTCAAGATAGAGCTACAGCTTCTCTATTGGGAATTTCACCTAGTTTGAACGTTTAAGAGTCCAAAAATGCGTGTCAATGTTACGCCTAAGCACTACATTTAGGTTTATTTTAGGAATTCATTGTATTAGTAGTCTAACCTTGTTAATTAGTTGATTAGTGGGTCAGGCCTTGTAAATATTCTTATTAGGCCCGCTATATTGCTCTATTAATAGGTGTTATGATGCTTGTTATGTACACTTTACATTTATTTTTCATATTTTAAAGTTGCTTTCTCTACAAGTTTTTCTAAATTCTCTCTCTGAATTTTCTCTTTAAATTTTTATGCATGAAGGAACTATAGCGTCTTGATGAAGATGTGTGGCTAATCCATTCATTCGATTCAAGATTTAATGAATTACGGTAAAATTCAAGTTATCGATCTATTTTTACCATACAAATTCTCTTCATCTTTTTCTCTGTTCTATATCTATTTTTCGTTCTTCATAATTATGAATTTCATTTTAATAGATCTGGATCAGATTTGAAGAGTAATTTTGCATCAAGATATAGATTTAGATCTTGTTATAATCCATTATGGACAAGGAGTAAGTGAGGATGTAAGAGTAGATATAGATTTAGATATTGGTGTGGAAAGATGATGAGTAGCTTCCTTGATCAGATAAGAGGTATCATTTGGTGAAATGCATTTAATGTTTGCATTAAATGAGTCAACAGTTACCCATATCTCAAGGAAAAACGTTGAAGACAAATGAAGCAAACTTGTGAGCTAGACTCAAAGTGTTGCAACAATCAGTTTCTTTAAGTTTCTATATAAGAATATTCAAAGCTCAAGAAAGACAGAGAACACATAGAGAAGAAACTTGTACAAAAATGTATATGAAGAAACACTCTCTATAAATTATACTTATGTATAATTCTCATTCTTTCTTGTAAAAGTTCACTACTTTATATTGGTTGTATAACGATTATATCAAACGAACACAACCTCTTTGTAACTTTCACAACCATTATTAAAAGGTTGAGCCTAGAGAGGCTTGTCTGTAAAAAAATACTTGTTTGAACTTGGAAAGGCTTGGTTAAAAAGAATACTTGGTTATTAAGCCTGGAAAGGCTTGTTGTTAAAAGA